TATCCGCCGTTATTTTCACATCCTAAGACGGTTACACAGACATTTTATCTAAATATTCATCTCTATATGATTATCTAAAGAGGGAAGGCAAAATATGATTTAGTATTAGCGAATACAAGAAGAATACAAACCAATTACAATGTCAATACTACTACTTACAATATAATATAATAATTCACTTCTCAGATTCATCATGACTATGATCCTTGTCAGCACCATACCCGTATGTAAAATAGTAACTATCTACGACCTGCAACATTACATGGGGCGTTTTGCTAGCCTAGTGCTCATCACGCCGAAGACTCATCCCCACATGAGTACAATGTGTGAAGCCCATTTCTGATGTCCCCGCCGTGATATTGCTTGGCTATTGCTAAAAACGGCTTAAAACCATACTCGCTGACTATTATAGAACTTGCTGAACATCGCCAGCAAATGGGATGTGTAAATCATGCTGGTGGACCATGCAGGTGGCAGAAGTACCGTATGTCACCATTGGATGCTGATGATCGATAGCATGTGTTTTTCATGGAATTAATTGTAATGTATTATGATATCACGTGTTATTTTGCTGCCCTTTGTCGATAGTGTCTATATCGTCTAACTATATTTATTTTCATTGTATAACTGATTATAAAGTCAATTCTGACTAACATTTATGTATTGTGCTTTTAATAAAAGCGACACAACCCTTTCCACTTTCCTAAGTGGGTGTTTGTTTTGTTTGTTTGTTGTTTAACGCCGCACTCAGCAATATTCCAGCTTTCTGTAAATAATCGAGTCTGGACCAGACAATCCAGTGATTGATGTCATGAGCATCGATCCATGCAATTGGGATCGATGACCGTGCATCAACCAAGTCAGCGAGCCTGACCACCCGATCCCGTTAGTCGCCTTTTACGACAAGCATAGTCGCCTTTTACGGCAAGCATGGGTTGCTGAAGAACTATTCTACCCCGGATCCTAAGTGAGTGAGTGAGTGAGTGAGTGAGTTGGGTTTAACGCCGCTTTTAACGGTATTCCAGTTATATCACGGCGTGTCAGCTTAATGTGGGAGGAAAGCCCGAAGTGATGCAGGTCTCAGACGTTTACCACTTTGGTGAAACCCACGAGCACGGGTATGGTGCTGACATACCTAGAAACATAATCGGGGCGAACCGGGATTCGAACCCACGATCATAGGTTTCTGGCGTGCCCAAGGGACGCATCTCTGCACAGCGAATCGCGGCGCCTCAGACGACTGGGCCACCCGTGCCCCATCCACATTCCTAAGAAATATCAGCTAAAATCAGAGTCCATTGTACGATTACGACTATATCATGAGCATGTGCATATGAATCTCTATCAAATAGTAACAACATAACTTTGATCCAGAGGATCAACACGGCGCAAATACATCGTGTAGAAGACGCAAGTATCCACACTGTAATAACGCGCACAGAAGATAAATCAAATTGTAATTTGCATGTGGTACTTTTGGAATCGGTCACATTTCAGTATGAATATTTATGTAATATTAAAGTAGATATATGAAATATTATGAAAACCAAACTAGATATATACCTTAACCTCCAAAAGGTGTACGTTAGACATGTGAAGGACATTTCCAAATTTGACGCATCTGTGACAGGGTGTTACATGGTTCACTATTTAACTATATACTTTATTATCGTGTCCTCGTATATATCTTGGAGTCTAAAGTACTCACGGAAATGAAAACAAACTGTTTTTTCGATCTCAGATTTTAAATTAAATGCAGTTAATATACAAAATATATATATATTCAAACAACTCAATTAGTACTTATTGGGCCTTGGCACAAATACAGCGTGTCAAAGGTTTTTATGTCTTTTTACACGTAAGAGTGTGTAAAAATATGAACAAAACAGACTATTGTGAAACTGAGCATAACCAGGTGTTAGTAGATCAAGGTGAATGTCCATGACCTATGACACCTTGACGACAGGTGAAAACAGGTGCTTGAAACCCACGTGCATGTGATTTGTCAGTAGTTAGTGATTTGTGATTAGCATTGTTGGATTGTGAATCATCGTCAAAATATCAGAACGTAAAAATAACATATTCCCTTCTCAAACAACAACTTACATGTCATTTTTATTATGTACATAAACATAGCTGTTATTTTTATTGTTGTTTTGATCACTTTTTTCCAGGCTAATTTGCATAATGCCTATAGCCTGTTTCTGCCATGTCAATTCGGACTTAGTTTTATTTTTGAAGGTGGGAAGTGCCTACATATTACCTCCTGTAAAGTGCATTATGTATTGAGCACTGAGATAGAACTAGCAAATCCAGACTAGTACTTTTCAAGTTGTTTTGGTATTTCGTATTTACATCTACGTAATGTTTTGTATCGATTATTAAATCCAGCAAAACAGGTTTTTTTCATTTCCATGAGTACCTTAGGACGCCGCGATTCGCTGTGCAGGGTTGCGTCCCTCAGGCACGCCAGAAATCTATGATTGTGGGTTCGAATCCGGGTTCACCCCGATTATGTTTCTAGGTTTGTCAGCACAATGCCCGTGCTCGTGGGTCTCACCGGAGTGATCAACGTCTGATACCTGTATCACTTCGGGCTTTTCTCCCACATTAAGCTGACACGCCGTGATATAACCAGAATAATATTAGAAGCATAACTCACTAACTCGTACAGATTTAATGAGAATTGGCGAGAAATTATGTCTTCCATCTGCCCAGTCTCATGATCTGATGCCTCAGTTGGGCTGAAGTCTTAAAGTCAGAATTCTAGACAATTCACCCCACATGTTAACAGGCTGTCATCAAACATTCTTCCCACAACATGAGCAAACAGAGCATGTTGCGACTCACTGGGTGTTATAAACACACTGGATGATTGTAAAAGGACTCTCAAATCCTGGTGAGACCCACAGACTAACTAGAGGGTCAAGCAGCCTATCAGAAATTGGTGGTGTATCTTGAGGTGTCATTGAAGAAAGGTAAAAATGAACGCATTCTATGTAAACACCAATACATATCTGCAGTATTGATCTTGTTGGTGATACACACAAACCTATAATATGAGCTGTAACAGACTGACACAACAGACTTAGTTGACAACACTAACCTCAGGAAGTGTCCCTGCTACCACCACGACGTTGGCAGGTAATCACTTCCTAAACTGGCAGTAAATTACTCATGCTATATTCTAGAACAATATCCCACTGAACCGGCATAACCACCGCGAGTGGGCGCACACAAATCCACCATGTGGCCAATTAATGCACCGTCAAACTGTCTATTGGTCTGACAGACATATGGCTGAGTTTGGGTACTGTTCGATGGCGTAGCAGCAGCTGGCGTTGCAGCAGTTTGAATGTGATAACAGATGTTTCTTGAAATGCACTGTTCTTTTGAAGAGACATTGTCAGCATGAAAAGTGATTTGAAAGAAAGTTCAGCCTTTTCTTTTGTGTGCTAATAATATTTGTCTTCGTAACACAGTACTTAAGTCAGTCAACGTATCAGTTAATTAATGTTTGTTCTGTAGCAGATGTCATGGTTCACAATAGGCTCAGTGCTGTTTGAGCACATTAGCTAAACTTTGAAATATTGTTGACGTCTTCACAACTTATGATCTGTCTATAGTACAGCGACGGAAGTAATTAGAACTTGCAAGCGGGAAAGCAAAAGCTAAGAATGGAAACAGCCTGTTATGCCAGCCAATCCAGAAAGCGTTCGGTATTCCATCATCCATGTGCAGGGTGCATGACTTGAAGCCATGTATGACAATCTTTATGTTGTATCCACAAACGTATGTAGCAGTGCCAGTTTACACATGATTATATTAAACATCTTCCAGCCATGGAACCCATCACAAATGGCATTTGAGACCAGGACGTTTATACACCTGTCCCCTACATGTATTGAACGTCGTGATATGTGTAAATGAAGGTAAAACGTACATTGGATTACAAATGTATATCAAATGATAACGAAATGCATCTCATTGTTATTGAACATTATATTATCATGCACATTTCTATCTACAATAGTACTTCAAATATCCATCCTCCAAGGCATCCTCCTCTAGCCATGGACATGATTACATTGATTAGTTTTTTGCCTTATAGGTAGTACATCATTTCAGTTCAGTGCAGAACATCACGCGTGCTTTACATTGTTCAAGTTAATGTGCAGCTGATTTTAAGAAGGTTTAAGGTATAAATCAACGAAGCTTATCAATCTGAATGTATTATTACGTATTATGTTATCTTACCTTCTGTAACTGACATAAAATAAAGACACCATGGTATTGACATCATCTTCAGTTTATCCATGACCCCCAAAACATGAAACTTGTTGCGCCATGTGAACACACAAAGCAACTAACTATTCTCGTACTTCCTTGTCACTGCTTTGTGGAAAAAAACACGCACGAAATCAGTCAATTACGAATTACCCCCCTTTACAATGATTATTTTTAAAGATGTTGTTATCATTATCATTATCATAATTATTACTAACCAAGAACAATAACAAGTTTGATATGTTTTCTAAGTGAATCGACAACCTGATTGATATGGTTTGTGTTGTATTTTGCACGGTTATTATTTGACATGCAAACAGTACACACTACATGATATCAGGATATACGTAGGAAACTGAAGGCTGTTTTTCTCAGAACTGATTATATTCCGTAGGGATGATCTCTTTGACATCATTTTCCCTATACAGTCGGAACAAATAACAACATTATCGATATTATGAGTTTACCTACATCCCCGGCTTCTAAGTTCCTGTCTATAATGACATGTTGTCCATTATAATCAGTTTATAATTAGACTTAAGTTATTGTTAGACTTCAATGCAACTTGTTTTGTATATATGTATCAAGTTTATGTTACATTAATGGCCTTACGTGGCATGTTTTGTCAACATCGCGACTAGCGACAAGGTACGCATCACTGTTTCATGAATAGTACAAAGGGGGACAACTCGTCATTAATCATACAGAGGCAGCGTCATGTGTACAACAGTGCAATGGCGGATGTAAACGTTTAATTTCTACTTGGAACAATGACTCATTATGGCCTGTCGGGGAAGGTACGTGATATTCTCTTTCTCGCGGTAACCTTAGACACGGTTTAACAGATTTATTGAACGCCATGTATACTGTCTAATAGCCATGCACATATAACTTTCTCAACGCCTAATGTCAAATCGCAGATTTTATGAGAAGACCTGTGCAGAAAGAAATTGTGAGGTGAATGGGCGTGATTATCAAAAGTATGAATATGTGTTTGGGAGACCCATATTTCCATGACATTTCTTATTATCCTCGAACACAGCAATCAGGCAAGGCAATTTATATCCGCCAACAAAGCTATTTGTCAAAAACCGCAATATCACATTCTGACAAACACACACGTTCACACACGACCTCTTCTACATTTTAGCTGTACATTTACCTTGATTGGCGGATAAGTTAAATAACTTACTAAAGGGGTTAAATATGCGGTACATATGTTAATCTATAAATTGTTATTTTTACCTTCATATCGAAAATAGAATATCCACACATAAGAAAACGTGGACATGTTGTTCAAACACAAATAAGGAAAAGGAATCAATTGTATTCTTTGTGTAACAGCAATTATTTGCATACATATCACATGGAATAGTTGTTTGAGTGTGTTTCCCGACATGCCCTTAAACTATCTTCTTCCTGATCTTCCGCGTAATGTTTTCCTTTTTTTCTCAAACTTGGTGATTATTTCATTCTAATTATTGCCTTATCAGAATTAATATCATGGTTAATTTCAGTATATACATGCATATGGAAATGAGATACATACACACTGACACTAAATCATAACAAAAGGACATAATAAAACACAGTCAAGTTTGTCGGACAAAGTATACACAAACACATCTACATCTATCGTACATGTCTTCAGGGGTATTCGTTTCACTGAAGTACTCAAATACATGTACTCTATACACCAAAAGTATCTGTTCTTTTGCACAGTTGTGTTAAGGCACTTATATGTTTGATCGTTATTCGGAGGTATTTAGATATTTCATAAACTCATGAGGGAGAAAGCGCATCAGGTATCTTGTGTTTCGAAAGCATATTTACAAAAATCAGAAAGACACTTTCTACAAGTTGCTTTAAAAATGTTACAAATAAAACAACCAAGTATAACACAAAAAAATGATGAATATCATTTTATGCTGCAGAAAGCAATATTGATATTAAATCGCGACCACGGGTAAACACTCATGTCTGGGCAAGGGGCAGTTTGGTTGACAGCGTTAGCAATGTCACCCAAACCTGGCTGCAATTGGAGATCTTTTTCAATTCATCTTCCCTTTACTAACCCACCAGGTGCACTAAACCTCCTGGCCAAACCTTATACTGGCATTGCATGTGGTAAACGCGATACGAAAGGTACGTGTTACACACCTATAGACAGTTAACCATTACATTATTCACCGTTATCCTGCTGTTATGCCAATATATATTTTCGCCTGTATAATAGATCTTTTGTCACGTCCTGAAATAATTGTTCCGTGCTTCAGTGATATATCTGGGATGACTAAGACTGTCTATATTGTAATAGTAAACCGTTCGAATCGGGGCGGTTGAATCAGCTGATCGTTTGTTCCTTGTCGCCTTGTTGCCGTTATCCTGTCGGTACTAAACGTGTTGCCAATGGTGGTTGACTATTACACGTTTCAAAATGAGATATATTTTAATGTTATACGTTTTCATATCTATGTGGTATTATCGTCGATTAGGCTATATTCATGCAGTTCAGAACAGCTGCGAGCTGATGTAGTATGCAAATTGTAAAGGCCATACTATTAATGTTCGTCACTAAATACTGTCAATTTGTCGGCATTATAACTAAATAGTAGGTTTATAATTCTGAGCTGTGAGAGATAAATGTTCAAGAAATTGTGGAAGAAACAGGCACTCATGAGATAATATAGAAATTTTATATATATACAACATATAATATACAATGCAGATCAAGATGGTAACAAGCCTAACATAAATAAAAATTAAGCAAATAAAGTAATAAAAATAATAATCATCATCATCATCATCATCATCAAAAGAAATAAAATTAGACACCTTAACGCAATAATGAGTTCAAATTTATGATGAATCTGGACAGATGTTTCAAAGTGGATATGTTTTTAGGTGATAACGTTTTACGCAATTTACACAATTTGGCCAGATATAACAATTCTGTGGGATGTAGAGAAGTCGTTGCTGGAGAAGTGCTTCACACCTAAAAAGATAGTGAGATTCGTCTCCAACAGCAGATGAATTGCATAGTGTACAGACACGGTCTTCTCTCAGTAACCCTCTCCATCGGCCGGTTTCAATGGGCAAATGATGATTAGATGTGCGATATTGTAAAATTGGCAAGTAGATAGTTTTGGGAAGTAATAGAAATTTAGTAATTCTTTTAAATGTTGGTAGTATAAACCTTTTGAACTTGAAAAATACATTCTCGCCACTGTTGAATAAATTGGTCTTTAAGAGTTCTCTCGACCTTTGAAACCAGCCATGAAGTAGAGCAAATAGACGGGTTTATGAATATTTCTGACAGTCCGACATCATTTGGTATTTTTTTTTACTGTAGCTATCCACTTAAACGATTTTGCGTTTGCATCATAGTCTTTTTCAAATAGTTATATAAAATATTAGATAACTTTGTGGGTCCGTTATAATTCGTTAGTTTATGCCAGAAGGAAATCATCCGTTTAAATACTTTAATTTTGAGGGGTTCCCTGCCAAGTTCCCCATAAACCATAAAATTGGGTGTTGAATTCCTCAGACCAGTTACTATTTTTAAAAATTTCAATTGCATTTTCTCTATCATTTCTAAATTTTCAAAACCCCATATTTCGGAGCAGTACAAAAGGATTGGCACTACCATCACGTCAAACGCCTTCAATAAACAATCTAATGGTAGGTTAACATTTCGTGCTCTTTTTATTAGGCAGTACATTGCTTTTGTCGCGTTTGCTCTTAGTGATTTCATACAAAACACAAGTTGTCTATTTCTGTGAAGATTTATACCTAAATATGTATAATTATCAACAATCTCCAGTATCTCTCCCCCAAAATAAAATATTGATTTGGTTGATTTGGCTGGACCCCCTCCAAAGATTATTATTTTTGTTTTTGAAATATTTACGTTTAGCTTCCATTGTAAGCAATATTGGTTAAAGGAATCGAACGATTTTTGCAATCCAGATTGGGTATCGCTAAATATGACTGTATCGTCTGCGTAGAGTAATACTAAAATATGCAACCAAACGGTGATGTCATTTCCCGATATACAATCAAATGAGATCCCTTGGCATCCTTGTTTTGTAAGATACGATTCAAGATCATTTAAAAATATTGAAAACAGTAGTGGTGATAGATTTTCGCCCTGTCTAAAACCTGATTGACAAGGAAAGTACTCTGATTCTGCATTATTTGATTGTACCATTGATTTAATATTACTGTACATATTTTTAACTAAAGTTAGGAATCGGCCCTCAATTCCACTGATTTGCATTTTAGACCACAATCCTACTCCCCAGACAGTATCAAATGCTTTTGTAAAATCTATGCACGCACAATAAAGTGGTTTTTTTGACAGTTTCAAAATATGCATCAACGAATGGATAACGAATATATTATCAGCAGTTTGAAATTGTTTCCTAAATCCCGACTGTGCTGGAGTTAGGATATTATTGGCATCTAGAAATTTTGTCAGTCTTTCGTTTAGGATACTGGTGAAAAGTTTTCCGAAACAGCTTAATATCGTAATGGGTCTTTACGAGTTTGGATCAGATGGGTCGCCTTTATTTTTGAAGATAGGTTTTATAATTCCCGAGAGCCACGTTTCAGGGATTACACCGCATGAGAGTACAAGATTGAAGAATTCCGAATATAGTGGGGCAAGTACTCCAATGCTATCTATTATATGATCATTCTCGACAAAATCTAGCCCAGATGCCTTATTTCTTTTAAGTTTCTTTGCAGCCTTTATAATTTCTTCAGTCGTTATATCATCGTTTAAGGTTTCACAATCATACACCAGTGTTGCAGTTGCACATCTTTCTAATTCAGAGTCATCAATTTTGTTTTCATTCAAGTTTTTATAAAAATTATAGAAGGAATTAATATCAGGAGCATTCGGATTTGTGTCTTTCTTACATCCTGTTAGGATCTGCCAAAATTCTTTAGGCGAATGGTGAAGATTTTGGCGAAAAGTCTTATTTAATTTGTCTTTATATTTACTTATATTCCTATCCATACATTTCTTGTAAGCCTTTGCTTCTTGGTGATATGCCAATTTATTAAATACTGTTTTCGATTTTTTAAGTCGCCGTTTTGCTTTATTAAATTTCTTTCGGGATCGTCTGCATTCTATTCCGAACCAAGGTTTATCTTTTTCGCACTGTATTTAGCATTGTTTTCTCTGACTCCGAATGTTGCTCGTGCAGCGTTAACAAGCACGTGCGCGATTTCATTCGCGAGTCTGTTTACACTCGGCGGGTCGCCGTGACCTGTCCGTGCTTCGTGCACAGTCTTCACCAGTTTATTTATCTATTTAACATTTATATTCCTTATGTATACATGTGATTTATCAAGCTTGTAATGTTTAGGTTTGTTAGCGGCATTTATATAGATGCATGGTAGGCCTTTACATGGATTACTGACAGGAGGTGTGACTGCGCTAAGTGTAAAGGTGAGAGGGCAGTGCACGTCTGAGTAGAGGGGTGAGTAGTCAATTATATTAAAATCAGAAAAGAGCGGAAGGCACATTTGCGATACGATAACATAGTCGATAACACTTTTATCTTTACATGTTGTTTTACCTATCATTTTATCATTTCCTAACCTGCCATTACCAATAAACAAATTTAAATTTTTACAGATTTCAATAAGTTTAAAGCCAAAGTTATTGATTCTTGTTTTGTCCTGTGTTGCTCTCACGCGTGGCAACCCAAGTTCACCGAGCACAGATTCAGGGTTGAGTTCTGATCTATTTTCATCAATATCCAGATTAAATTCTTCCATTATGTAT